CCATCACAAAATGAATTAGGAACTGAGAAAGTGCTCACGGACACCAGTGTGTGCGCTCACACATTATGGAAGTTTAGAAACATAAAAAGCTTATTATGTTCACAAAATTTCTTGCTGGGCAACCAACTGAAAGGGATGGCCTTGAAAATATAGGAATAATAATATTGTTGGTCAAACATCTGACAGTGTAAAGATGTGGTCAATGGAGGCCCTACCAGGCCGGAATCCCGCTTGGTGCTTTCAAGTCAATGTTACCATAAGATGGTAAATGACAAGTGACGCTAAGAATATCGCTACCACCGCCGTCAAGCTGATCTCTGTATGATCACCGCACTTCTGTGAAAATGAGAGCTATCACTGATTTTTCCCAGTTGTATGGGACAGCCTTCTCAAATAGAGGTGAATACATCAGACTGGGAACTTCAGTCCCATACATGAGTGATGCAGGTGAGAGATTATCCAAACAAGGAGCTTGGTGGCGCCTGAGGAGACGAAATCAACCATAAACCTCCAGGTCCATAGGGTTTCCAGGTTTACCGTCGAGGATCCTACTGCAATTTGACAACCTGGCTGAGTGAAGCAGGTGGTCGGGAGAATCCTACCTCAAATGCTTGGCTCGGGGCTTGACACTTCGTCCTTTATTGAACGTGGTCACCCCAGTTTGATCCTGGATGGTTTCACTCAGATACGTTTCCCGGTCGCACGGAACAAACAAAAGAATCTTCGAGCATTCCTATGCATTCCTCCGGTCTCCCTAACAACAAGGCTTCTGATCGGCGCGTAAACTATGTTTGACTTGACGTCTGATAATTGGTCAAGCTGAATTATGTTCGCAGCCGGTGGGGATATTTCTGCGCGATTCAAGTAGTGCTACTGTTCTGCCTGATTCTTGGCGTCTGAGAGAACTCGGTGGCCCTGTGCTACGGGCGAAACTACCCAAATTGTGCAAGGATATGACACTTTCGTCACAATATGAGTTGACATCCGATGGGAGGGCAGTTAAAAGGGAGTCCACAAGACGGTTCTGATGAGTTATTTTGATATCAGGATACACCAACCTCTACCTATCTAGTGAGCTAGCTATCCGCCTCTTAGGCGGCTGTGGAAAGCGAACAGAGAGGTGACTGTAGGAGAATTCATGATCATAACCCATACAAGTGTTCCAAAGTGAGAGGCAGTCAGTTGTTGAACCGTACCATAGGTAACTGATGGCGATTTGATCGATTAATCCCGTCGCTGGCCCGCCGTCCTAGGACACCATATTACTAGACAACTTCGCTTAGCGCTGCATAAACACACTGGAGCAATGTTAACCTCTAACTTAAACAGCTTTGGTCAGTAAACCCAGCAAGTTTATTCCCGCATTCATATACTCAGTTAATTAAATAAATGGAAATCCCTAGCTAAAGGCAGACCAGACAAACATTTTTCTTCATTGAGCCAAGTGAATAGTTTCCGTTTCTTCCCTTATAAAAATCGCCTCAGTTCGTTTCTAAACTATGGGTATTTTTCTCGTGGCAGTTTTTGACTATATATAGTACCTTACCTTACCTTTCCAACAAGTGTCTTAGGAGGACTCCCGTTTCAGATTGTATTCTTTTCAATGCTGCAGCTAAACGTGTTCTGTACTGACATTAAGGAAGGTAGTAAAGTGAATCTCAAGGAAGGAAGGCAACTGAAAATCGTCCTAACCTACTAACTACGAATGCGGGCGACCTGCAACACCGTACGTGCACCGTTTGTAACTCGGTCACTTCCGAACTATTTCTTAGGCATAGTGAGGACTCTGCCGATGAAAACTGCCACTGTCGTGCAGAGGAAGACGGAATTAACTGGTTTCTGGTGTTCAACTGATAAGTTCAGTCATATGAAGTTAGGCGAGGCTTCGATATAGTACAACTAAATGTTCTAAGTTTGGGGTTCTTAGCATCCAACCTCTATCTCGAAGCGCTCAAGAGGAAGTATCTCTATGGGGAGACCAGTTTCGAATGCACGTATGCATGCTGACTTAATTACCAAGGGGAAACACTAGGATGATATATCCTGTACCTTTTATTCAGGTCTGGCAGTGGGCTGTCACTTGCAACTGTTTAGGCTATAAGCCTCGCTCAATTTCCAACTCAACAAACTCCTACTTACCGGGTTTGACCAATAATGTGGTCCAGAATAAGTCCACGTCAACAATCGTATCACATTGCAGTCACATTGTCGACCACAAACAGGCACACTGGATGGTTGGGAGAAAAGATTGTTAATAACTCGATAGGCCCCGCCAAGCAAGATGGAAGTTCATAAGCACCACCTACTAATAAAAGTATAATCGGCTACTCATTAGCCTATCAGTAAATCATGTTTTTCTCACCACTGGAGTCGTCATTGTTCAGTTTCAGCTGCGGTCTATCGAAGCAGTCGCTCCAGATGTAGCGGACGCAAGCAAGAGAGGAACAAAGTTAAAGAAAAACGACGCCAAAATTTGTCCGAAAACAGAATGGAACCCAGTGCGAACAGCGCTTTCAGTTTCAATGAAGGCTACTTTTCTGTGTACACTCATTTGTCCTTGTGTAGGTAGACGTACACATCGGTACACACCAACCGTCGATTTGATCTATACATTGTACCCCGTATTTCCCAGTTAACAGTGAAGAACTGGTGGGAATGCAAGTTACACCGCGACAAGTATTACATTTGGTGGTGAAAACCTGCGCTTGAAATGAGCGCCCTTGCAGTATGTGGTTGTCAATGCGCTCCCGAACAATAACCTTGTTATTGTGGCACCACAGAAAAATTCCCTCACCAATTATCTTGATATTGACTTATTGATCGTAATCATTTTGATTGTGCCTTAACTCGAGGATCGTTGCACAAGCAGAACCTATTGCCGTGTGAAAAATTGCGCAAGTTTCTGTTGATGAAGTTTTCATGTCTGATAAAGTGTTCAGCAAATCTCACTCGTTAACACGAGTGAATATAAGGGCTGTTCAAATTGAAGATGAGCGCACCTTCCGTATCCTGCACTTACTGGATTTATTCACGTTCCATTGCACAAAAACAAGTACGATTGCTTCTAATCATTCCACTGTTGTCAACATGGCTTACTTGTTGATTGACTTACGTGTCAATTAATTCTGTACAGCATTCTTACGGATGCGTCATCCACAAATTATGAGTGGAATTCAAGGTTCTCTCGCATGAACAAATGAATGGAATACCTTCGTTAGGGCATAAACGATTAAGCTGAGGTATGTAGTGCTCATAGTGATAAGCTTAATGTATTTGTGTCAGCTGGTTCCCTTACCGGTGACTTTCCGGTTAACAATTCCATTCTTATGAAAAACACACTTCGCATACAACAGGTTTGTCTCCATGTAGCAAATTTATCTTACTAAGGAGTGGTGATCTTAGCTCTTTATCTTAACACTTTGTTACTTCTTATCAAAAAGCAGGATTCGCATTGTCCACACTATTGCTGTACAAACTATAGTGAAACACACAGTATATACATGGAGAGGATATCAAAAGACTGTGTCCATAAGCCACATAGATTCCGCAAAATAGCTCAGTTTATTCACATGCTCCGGTGTCCTGTGACAATCTCACTTGACTCGCAGCTGAAAGTTGCGTTGACCCGTCCAAAATGTTCTCAGCGGTGACATCATTCCCTTCCTTGACTACTGTGATGAGATGGTGGATGCGATTAATCTCTGCACCTACGTGATACTCGGCACGTACTACGCCAACCGCAGGCACCATATCATGCGCAACGCTAAATAGGCAAGGGTTGCTAAAGGCTCAATGTCAGTCTCGCCAGGTGTGGGCAAATTAAGTGAACCTAGGTGACAACGGTCACAGGGACAAGGCTTCGACAATTTGATTTGCGAAAGACCGAGCAGCTAATATTGGAACATGGGGAAGTACATCAATTCTTTCTCAGTCGTGCCGTAACTTCTGACTTCAAAGTAAGCCTTGTAAAAGAAATTAAACGGCATCCGATATCTCCTTTCAAACATTATGGGCCGGTTCCATTCACCTGTCTCGTTCTTGAAGAATTCGTCTGAGAAGAATGCAGTAGAACTTCCCGAGAAACTCGTTTTCCTCGGAAAGTAAGCATACATCACTAGTCCCTAAAATAGCGATCCTCATACAGTTTGCCACCGAAATTTGTAAGGGATGTGCCAACTAAGCTGAGTACAAAATCTAGGAAAATTAATGCCTTACCACAACTTCACACTTTCAGGTCAATCTATGCGACCCCAGGATCTATTAAACCTAGATATCATTCCTTAACTAAAGCAATTTTTATTGATGGTTTTGACCCCGTGCTTTGCAAAGAGGGACACATTCTACAGACATTGAGTCCCGCATGGCAGAACAGTTACCCGAGAGTTCATTGTCTCTGTATAAAGTCGCACGATGCGGTCAGTTTACAATAAGGAGCGCTCTGTTGAAGAGGTATTCCAGAAAACTCTGGAAGAGGGCTCCTCGATGAGAACCCTATCCACCCATGTTGGATCAACCATTTTAGGATCACTGGGCTGTATTCACGAAGCGCACTTGATAGTTTATGTTTCGGAGAGTGTAAAAACTATGAATCTTGGACAAGGGCTCGCGAAATTTGATTATTCTGTTGCCTCGGTTCATCAACTCTACAAACGTTGGATGTATTAGATAAGTTGTTGCCGTAAATTATTAGTTGCATGATTTGAAGCAAAGGTTCAGTAAAGGGAATCAGACGTTCAGTAGTAGCTCACAACTCCGTAGACCGCACATACTCTTGACTATTCCTGAAACGTTTCATATTTAGCCTAAGGGAAACTAACGAGCATTTCAGTTCTCGAAGCTGTGGACGTAGTTGGACCACCCTGGTGCCCGGACGCATTACGAAACGGTACACATCAAGTGAAAATAATGGGTGTATTTGACCGATCGAGTGGTATACGAAACTAGAAAAGCATCTCAGATAAGGTGATAAAATGGAGAAAAAATCAATCAATCAATGGAGTTCACTGAGGCGGACTACTATCCGGAACAACTCGATACAAACGCAACAACAGCTGTCTCACGCGTGTAAATGCAATCTTCTTACTTGGTTCCTCCTGTGCACGTAAGGTCTGAATGAGGAAAATAAATGGTGAAATGAAGTAGTTCAAAAAGGCATACCTCACAGGTTTGAAATTTTTCGGATGGTATCGGGCCAAAAATCTCTTTCTGAAGATCCCGCGGAACTTCTGCCAATATACATGTCCATATAAGACCGGGATCTATTCGCCATAGTCTGATCAGACTGTGTTCAGCAGCCTGGAGAACGAGAGGAGAATGACGTAACATAGTGCTGGCGACGGTGAATGGAAGTCGGACCGGGTAAACGCATAGTCATCAGAATACTCCCAACGGAGATTTTGCAGCGTAAGTGGAGCTAGCGTACGCTGAACGGCTGAGAAGCGCCGTACAGCTGTTTCAGCCTTATTAGAAATCATCAAGGGTGCGCATTTTACGAAACTCCAGGGAGTTTCGACCCCGCGACCTCCAGGTTAGTAGTTTGAACGCTCAACCGCTCAGCCATGAGCAGCTGATCAGCGTTGCAATTAAATCGTACTTAATAAGGATATAGCTCCATTCACGCTCCAACCACATCATGTGTTCTACGCGCTGCCTAGCTCCAATATAGATTCGCCCTACTTACAGGGCGGGGTTCGTTGAAAATAATCAGATTCCATACTACCATCAATTTATAAGTAGCTCAGAGTAAGAATAATCTCACATAAGGGAAACTTCCATCTGAGGAGCATGTCAACACGCGACTAGTGACATAGTTTCTATGATGGAAAAACGGGCGCTGTCCTGACAAAGTGCGGATTAATCATACTGCTGATCAGCCGCTGTTGGCCGAACAATCAGGTGCCCAAACGATTAACGGGAAACCGTGATTTCGAAACTCTGGAATTTCGTGAAACAGCTGCACAGTACTTTTAGGCTTTGCAGCATAGATTGGCTCCACTTACGAGGCTTCACTCAGTCGACTAAAACTTTTCAAATCTCCTCATGCTAGCTTCAACAGGTTAAACTGTCAGGAAAGCTTTGGTACTAACTGGAAACAGTTACCACAGCCTACATGGTTGAGAAAGAAACATTTTTCGAGGCAGGATGGAAGTGAAGGCTTCATTGTTCAGTTACAACAAAGGTACAGTTATCTCAGCTTGATTTATTTTATTCCCTTATTTGAATGCCGTTTTAGCGTGCTTTTTTTTAAAACTAATTTGGATACAGGATAAACTAAAAATACCACTAGACGGAGAAGTTCAACAACATTCTGCCACCTCGATTGCCTTCGTTCTCTCTTCCTCTTTGGAGAGACTGTATTTCGTCAGCATTCTATGACGTAACGGAAATAATCTATGAGTGTAACCTCGACCTTCAGGTTTCGGGATCCATTCGCAACCAAAATAGGACTGAGTGACCTTCTCGGAAAGGGCTAGGCCGCAATGTTGCAGTACAATCATTTCAGCTTAGAAACACTGGTTAGTTAGTGTATCAGTGCATATAGCGGTTCACTCCACACAGTAATCATGTGTACTGCGAATCGGTAATTAACCTGTGTCTGTGAGCTTCTTCTATGTATTAAACAAAAATCCGAACAGTGCATTCCTTGTTTGTTGTCTCGATTTGTTCAGCTGGGACTCGCGGCGCAGATGATCGAAACAGCCACATGACCATCACTGAGGGACAAATGACTGGCGAAATCTTATCTGAGACAAAAAAGTTTCCCATGTTAGCAGTATTGCACTTTTGCGGTGGTTTACGAAATATTATATTCGTCTTAAGGAAGTTCTCATTTCTGGAAGGTATAAATCACCCTTCGATAATGAGAAGCCTATGTTCGTAGTGGGCAGGAGGCATCAAGAACCAAACTGCAAACTCGAAACGTTTGCAAGTCAATTACCAACAGATCAACAGCCACCTGGTCAACAACCAAGAACGCAGCAAGTTAGAAAGCGACGGCGGTATTTTCCGACCACTGTGGATGGGTTGGATGTAAGCAATATGGTACATGCTATTGACCAAGAAGCTCCAGACTCACCTGTTGCAGTCCCTGAGGTTGATCATCCTCCAGATAGAGAATCAGCGTACGAATGACAGACCGCAGTGACTCAGACATCAGACCCAGCTGCATTCAGAGACCGCAGTATTCGGATAGTTCGTGAACATAACACAAATTACCTGAACACACAATGATCCCATCTGGAGAAGCAACTGCCTCTGAACACGATAAGCTGTTAGATGCTGAAAAGATTCGTTGGCTTCGGCACTGAAATAAGAAAAACAATGAATGCTCCGCGTAACCCCTAGTTCCATCGATTAGTCGACAGATTTCATCTACTGGGACGGTAAGCTACCATCAAAGAGCCTAGTTATCAACCAGGAATTTCAGACCGATTTGGAAAAGACCCTTCAAAGTCAATTTAAAAAACGCAACTCAGTTCAGAGTTCGGAGTAAGGACAGACAGACTTATTAAGTGGACTAACCTGACGGAGGCTCCACGAGTAAGAAAGTTTAATAGAGGTGGTAGGATATCTGATGAGGCTCGCGCTCGGATGAAATCACCCGCAACTTTGGTGAGTACAGTGAGCAACTGGAATGCCTGTGAAGGAAAGGACGTTAAGAGACATGTCAATATCAGTAAACGAGGTAGGCTGCCAGGTAGAAGAACACATGGTGAAATGCAATAAATAAAGAAGCAAAACTAGATATTGGTTAGCTGGACACTGGTGGAGGTAATGTTTTTTAAAGTTTTTTGTGTGTGGTGCTAACGACGAGAGATCTTACTACACCCATCCATCCAGGAGGGTCTAGTTAGGGTGAGATGTGCACCGACTTATGTCCATCAGGGCTGACAACAGCAAATGCAGTAGTTCAGACTTACTTTTTCTACTACCACGGCATGCTGGTCTTTGAAACGAGCCATTAGGGAAGCCCAGGCCTTGTGGACCAACGGAAGAAGCAGTTCTGCGAGAGAACAAGTAAAACTGAAAATTACTATCAATGAGTGAATAAAAAAATTGCCTTAGGAACAAATATAGTTAGCTGTTTTCTTCTCCCCTGAGGGAGTCAAACAGGTGAAACATTGGAGGAACAATAAAAATCGGATGTAACTCCAACCATGAAGAGGGAAACATCCCGTACCAAACTGATGCCGGATGAAGTGTGAAGCAGAGGTCACTGGCCCTAAGAAGTAATTACAAACTGGTAAAAATGAGAGGGCTTTCAAAGTCCATCACCGGCTGTTTGCCGTGCTTTGTACAAAGAAACCATCAGTAAATCCGGTGATCAGCAACAAGTACCGAGTCGGTCCAAAATTGACCAGCCACACCAAATTTAGGCGAATTACAGATTTCACATTAAGAGAAATTTGTATGCGATGATGCAAGAGTGGCGCCTCCTACTCTTGTGCAATACGAACGGGATATCGACTGTTCAATAGGAATTTCAAGTGAACCCTCGCAAACATCAAGACAGGCTGGTGCCACACCTAGAACTTGGAGTTATCCATTCCGTCTAATCTACTGGCATCGGTTCCGCCTACTGGAGTGCTACTGGAACATTTGTGAATACAGCTCTCTCCCCAAACTGGTTGAGGTCGTCCGCAAAGTTGTGCGCGGAAGTAAGACTACTACCGCAAACCACTGGGGACAACAGGTGAGTGATGGGTAACGAGAGTGGACAAAACAACAGGCGATCAAACAGAGGTACATTCTCGTCATAGGTAGTGAGTAGTTAAATTCAAGCAAGCACACTCAGCTATACCATCATTACTCACCTGTCTCATCAGCCAATGTAATATAGCCTTCCACCAGTACGTCCATACTGAGCATTCGAAGTTTGGGCTGTGCTTGAGCCAACAAATGAACGCAACGTAGCATAACCTGAAGCGAGTAGAAGCGAGTTAGTGCATCATTCCTGATCTTTGACAATAAGGAACAAGATGTCACCGACCCCCCCAAATGAAACGTGGAGATTGATAAAAACAGGTGGAAAATTTAGTAGACAAGCGAATGACCTTCGACAACGGCATTCCACGTTTTGACAAACCGAATGGATGGTACTTACGAGAACCTTTTTTGCTTCTAGTGCACATGCATTTCCATGCATCGCAAATGTTGAACTTAACAACTACCTTTGCATACCGAATTGGTTTTCACGGGAGACTCACTGGAATCCAAGCTGAAGGTATCGTTTACGATGTTCTTCAACTAAATGTGCTGCACCAGAAGAACACCATAAACAGAGACTCAGCTAGGAATCACGTGAGTTTCCCGTGGAAACCAAATTGGCATGCGAATAAGTGTATTTGTCAACTTTCATGTAATTTGGATTGACAGAAACTCAGGCACTGCGCCTACTGATGATTCCCAGAAAGAACGAAACCGGTTGTGGGCTGTCGAAGGGCTTTCAACAACTTTGTAAGTGGTCTGTCACGCTTAACACCTACCTCTTCTACGATGTGCAGATGATCGGGAAATATGCGAGCACAGTCCCCTTCTTGCTCTTCTTTCGGTTTGGTTCGTGATGATGTATCATTGGAAACCAATGAAGACTGGTCCCCATCCGGAGAGACTGATGGTCCACCGATATTATGTATGCGTCTTGTCTCTTCGATCAGCGCCCGGGTGTTACGCAAAGTCAGTGAGAAGATGTCGGACATCACATCTGCCGGCTCTGACGTCTAGAGGAAAACCAGAGAAACGGTTGACTGTTTTGATTCTATTCGAAAACCCAAATAATGAGCTAACTTGGTCAGGATAATATAACGGCAGGACACGGTGCTTTCATCACAAGAGTTTAAACAATGATAGACAGTGTCCAGATCTTGGATGCACTGCTTACTTTGGATTCCAAAAGCTGAGATAAACAAAGGTAATCACACTGATTCAGTGACGCGGCGTTTGATCAGGGCACAATAGTGTCCGTCAGCTTTTCCTCCCTAATTTGGAGAAGGCTTACTGAACAGAACAGGGAAAACTGCTGATACAGAAAGGGATTTGGTAAATTTGTTCTTTTTAAAGGGAAAACTGCTGATACAGAAAGGGATTTGGTAAAGTTGCTTCTTTTTAACCGTATACGTCATCTATGGTACGCAACCGTCTTGGTAGACTCTTTTTATACAATCCACCAAAAATGCAAAAAAACATGTTTCCCACATGTTTGATCCTAGCGAACTGAAAGACCAAAAGGTGACAACTGTCGGAGAACTGATATTCATGGGTAAATGGGATATAAACGGATGATTTAAACAAGAAGGAAAGATAAAAAGATGGTATAGGAGCACCTCCTACTACAGATCTGTCAAGAAGGGTCGGAGAGATTTTCTCCAAGTGCGTCGACCCAAGACCTCCATACAACGTTTCAGCATTCTTTGAAGAAGTATCCGGGAAATATCTGGTCAGTGTTTTTCTATCCCAGTTCAAGTGTGGTAACTAATTTAGTACTAGGGCGGTGCACTTCAGTACCTTTGTACATTTGGCGCGCTCGTATGCTTCACAAGTTCTTAATAGCTTTGGGATCTGGCCTGCAGACCACCCGATACAATAAAACGAACCAGTTCAGAAGTACGTTGGAAAAAGGGTGACTCCGAGAATTAAAAAAAAGCAACATTGGATGAAAAGACGCGAGGAAAACAATACAGATCTCTCGTACTTGAAACCTTCGTTTCAAACTGAAGAGAAATATAAAAAAGGCCGATAGAATCAGAGCTCGCACATTGTACACACAAGAGGGAAAAACACGGTATTGATTTTGCAGTAGCAATGGATATCAAAACGAAATGTAGTGTTCTATTTTAAATTACACCACAGTATCGGAGGAAATCGAGCGTAGATATTTTTTTGCAACCACTAAGGGGTGCGTTATACGAGGGACATAAAATCCTTACAGCTAGACTTGCTGTCACACCACGGAAGAATAGGACGATTGTGGCCAGGAGTGTCTGGTGTATCGAAGGGGTTGTAGTGGAAGCGCGGGGCATGCAGGAGATCGCACTACTAAAAGTTAAAAAAAATCCACCTCTTCTGTGAAACTATTTCTGTGGATCCAGTTCTTCGAAAAGTTCATTCAAGTTCACACTCGTTGCTCGTCGAAACTGTGAGTTTGAAACGTGAAAATTGTGCAGTAGTAGGCTTCAGATACTCAAGCCCTTATCCTCTATATTGTACGATGATTTAGCAAATAGAGTTGCCACTTTCGTTCGGATCGCTCGGGACCCAGAAAAAGCAAATCCAGATAGTCTCACTATAACTCTTGTAGCATTAGTATTGAAAGCATTCTGAATATGTCATAGGGTTATGGACACATTTGTTTTTAGTAACGATATCATGAAAGACACCCTGGATTACTACACAAAAGTCACTGCGTCCGTAGAAGACTGCACTGTAATTTCTCAAACGATGATTTCCATTTTTACGGTTTCTGGAGGAGCTCTAAATTCTCCAGAAGATTATATAAATATAAACCAGAGAGGAAACTTCTTTGTCCGCCTTCTTGGTATTTGGGTTGTAGCAGATTTAATGTTTTTCTAGTGTTGCTGTTGCAGGACTCAACTTACCGAGGGCTGTGCTTCATCCAGCGCCAGAGAACTGTCAAAATGCAGAGGAGAGGCTTTGTGATGTTTCTCATTCCACGAACGACACGTTGACACGAGGCATTTCAATGCCGGAAGAAACAGATCCGCATGATGCTCGTAGGTCAGATCCAGACAAGTTAATATCTGGGAAGAAAGCAGGATAAGATGTTCCGTTTATGACCCAAAAGGTTGTATAAGATGAGAAGTTAAAGATTAAGTAAGATGAAGTGCTGACACCTACTAACCGATGAGTGGTGTACAGCGCTCATTTACTTGTTTGTGTTGATCCAACTATTTTTCAACAGACTAACGCGTTGTTAGTTCCGTAAAAATCTAATCCCATCAAACTGGTTAGTTGCAGGAATATGGGATGTTTGTACCTTGGTGTCCTTGCAATATTCAACCGCCCGTTCCTCTCTTGAGTATTGAAAAAACAAGTTAGGGTGATGAAATGACTGCGGAGTTGTTCTTTATATGGTAAGTACGATCTGGATCAAAAAAAATCCATCTCTTCTGTGAAACTATTTCTGTGGATCCAGTTCTTCGAAAAGTTCATTCAAGTTCACACTCGTTGCTCGTCGAAACTGTGAGTTTGAAACGTGAAAATTGTGCAGTAGTAGGCTTCAGATACTCAAGCCCTTATCCTCTATATTGTACGATGACTTAGCAAATAGAGTTGCCACTTTCGTTCGGATCGCTCGGGACCCAGAAAAAGCAAATCCAGATAGTCTCACTATAACTCTTGTAGCATTAGTATTGAAAGCATTCTGAATATGTCATAGGGTTATGGACACATTTGTTTTTAGTAACGATATCATGAAAGACACCCTGGATTACTACACAAAAGTCACTGCGTCCGTAGAAGACTGCACTGTAATTTCTCAAACGATGATTTCCATTTTTACGGTTTCTGGAGGAGCTCTAAATTCTCCAGAAGATTATATAAATATAAACCAGAGAGGAAACTTCTTTGTCCGCCTTCTTGGTATTTGGGTTGTAGCAGATTTAATGTTTTTCTAGTGTTGCTGTTGCAGGACTCAACTTACCGAGGGCTGTGCTTCATCCAGCGCCAGAGAACTGTCAAAATGCAGAGGAGAGGCTTTGTGATGTTTCTCATTCCACGAACGACACGTTGACACGAGGCATTTCAATGCCGGAAGAAACAGATCCGCATGATGCTCGTAGGTCAGATCCAGACAAGTTAATATCTGGGAAGAAAGCAGGATAAGATGTTCCGTTTATGACCCAAAAGGTTGTATAAGATGAGAAGTTAAAGATTAAGTAAGATGAAGTGCTGACACCTACTAACCGATGAGTGGTGTACAGCGCTCATTTACTTGTTTGTGTTGATCCAACTATTTTTCAACAGACTAACGCGTTGTTAGTTCCGTAAAAATCTAATCCCATCAAACTGGTTAGTTGCAGGAATATGGGATGTTTGTACCTTGGTGTCCTTGCAATATTCAACCGCCCGTTCCTCTCTTGAGTATTGAAAAAACAAGTTAGGGTGATGAAATGACTGCGGAGTTGTTCTTTATATGGTAAGTACGATCTGGATCAAAGGTTTTGGGAAGGAGTATCCCTGTTAAGTAACACCAAGACGGTGAACAGGTGTGGCTAGAATAGCATATACAGATATACATAAACTGACCTGCTTCACCAACGGACGCAAAAGTGGGAGCACCTCTATAGTCGAGTATTCAAACAAAGTTTCCAATGTGTGACAAGTCGAACGAAGCTCTGTGAGTAGCTCAGGCGGAACTGCTCGTTGTGCATCATCTGGACTAAGTAGAATGACGCGATGTAACTGAAGTGTGATAGTAGAGACGAGGAAGTCTGCGTTGGCCGTGATCAAACTGTGGACACTGCAAGGTCGAAAGAAACATGGTGAGTATTACTAGAAACGAAGCCGCGTAGTCCGCAGAAACAAGTAATAGGTTTGGAGCGACCGGTTTCAGCAATAGAACTTCAGCATTGACTGCAACCGCCAGGCGCACGGATTTCCGAGCCCGGCAAGCTTGTTAGCAAACTCATCGGAGTACACTGATGTAGTGGTGCATGTGATGATAAGGCTACCCCGATTTGTGGCGAAGTGTTTGCAACAAGATTGTCGGGCTCAAGGAACAAGGAAATTATCAACTACACAAACTGAGACGCAAAAATCTTCCATATGAGATTTATCATTATGCGGAGGGGAAAAACGGACAATACGAATGTCGTGTTCTAGCATGGCAGCTATTCCCAACGCCGGAAGTGAGGGAGTTGGCTTAAGCTTTCAAAAAGGATGGGGGCCATAGATTTGCAGACCTCATCTTCTGCAGGACTAATTCGTTTCACCTTGTGATTGGGGCGCACGACACTTACGATTTCGCACTTGGTATTAATTATTACTGTCTCACTGATTTACAATACAACACTACCCCAAGGCAACAAGCTGATTTAGCAACATGCATGAAGGCCTTGAAAAGGATCTAGTAGGACCCCTGTGTTCTTATTGGAACTGTAATCCCGAAAACATCCAGCACAATATGGATCAAGCTAATTACATTTAATCACAGGCAAAAAGTGCATGATTATCAAGAGTAGTAGAGTAACAAACTGAGGTGGTGTGCGCCTGGGGCTCTTCTATGTAAACGTTTTTCTAGGGACTACGTCTACTTGATGAACCTAAAAAGGGACGAAACCGACGGTGGGTTGTCGATCTGCCTTACATAACCCACTAAGCGATATACACGTAAAAATAGTTCGATATTTTGAATAATGACCACACTGAACCCCAAGGAATCTTAGCTTCGGATGAAAAATATCACGAGCGAGAGGTTTACTCGAGTGCATGTCAACATTAACTCAGTTTGCGAACGAGAGCTCGGCTCTACGCATATTAGGTTCACTGTCCAAGCAAAAGAAAGAACGACGAAAATTCGGTGGCTAACCGATAAGCGCTAAAGAGTGCCAGATCGGTTACCACTGACGTTTTTCTCTAATCTCGTGGGTAGTAGGCAGCACTTTATACTGAGCATCAATATTAATTTTACGCGGAAATTAGCATTCTAGCTTCAAACTTGCTTGAAGGGAGAATGATCTGCGACCGCAGCCTCAAAAAGTAAGTAAACAGAATGGTTGAGAACCACTGTACAACATGAGCTCAAGATAGCTCAGGGGTTAAGGCGTGAAACCACTGACCGAAAAGTTAATGGTTCGAACCTAATTCTGGTTTTCCGACTGCCACTGTCTGGATTTGGGCAAACCGATATTATCTCAGACTTGGTGCCTTCTTCAGGTGGCAAAAAAGCTACGCACCGAAAGGGTGTCACGAATGAACGACTATCATGATTATTTGCTTTAAAGTGGCGAAACCAAAAACGCAGACGAGTATCTACCGTTTAGATAAGATAATGTTTCACATCAGTACTGCCGTAGGGGAACCCAGCTCCAGGTTTGTTCCACTTAGTTCAAGTTTCTGGTGTTACACGTCACTGCAACACCGCACACTGAGGAAGGGGAGACACACATAAATGATGAAATTTTCGTTTCATTTTGGCAATAAGAACACAGAGGACATCGTATCCACACTGCATACAACGACACACAACACCTGTTTCAAGTGAGACAGACCATTATGGTGGCCACATCATGTTGATTGGTGATGAGATCTGAGAAAAATTAATTCAGATTAGACAGTTAAAACATGATTTCTGAGAATGTTAAGGGAAAACTCAGTTACAACTTACTCAGCGTAACCACAATTGATGGCCAGTTGCTGCAGGCAACATCTAGCGGTTTTCCCAACCAAGTCTGGATGTGCGGCAAATGAAGTACAGGCCACAAGGCCGATGCGCAACAAATCCTCGTTATAAGCTGGTTTTGACACGTATATCTGAACGGAAGATGTGGATATAATGAGGATGAAACGAAAAGATGTGCGAATATATGGTTTCCAAAGCGCCTATTCTACCAAATACAGCTATAAAACAGAGAACAGGATTAAAGAATTGTTGAGAATACTACGATACGCCAAAAATGGGTACTGTCTGATTAGTTTGTTTGCTGGAGATAGGTGACTGATGCGCTAAGGCAGTTTCGAGACGGTCATCAGTGTGCAGAGAAAGGGCCACCAAGGCCATCTCTGACAGACATTGCTGGATGCGATGAACAGGAGAGGACTTTCGTAGACACAATCTGGTGGAAGGGAGGAGGCATTCTGAGCTATTGTTAGAGATAGAAATTCAGAAAAGACACATCTCATTGCCAGACACTGCCATAGTGTCTGTGGGGTCAAAGGCAGTCTTCAAACCAAGGGAAATGACCACTGTTGTTCGTCGCCAGCAATGGATCAATCTGCGTAGCATAATAACAAACAAATTCGAAGTTATGGTCCCTGACGTCCCGGTGGCTTTGCACGACATACCTGCATATTTTTGTAACATAGGAATCACCGTCGAGGTACTCCATTCTGTCGGTATCCTTACTTCAGCCGAGATATTCTACAGTCAACCCGTCAGGTTAACCATAACGGATTTGAGGAATGCAACACACAAGCCATCTGTACCAGGTGCCATATTGCCATGAAGCAATGAAATTGCACGTTGGATCTCGGTTGCCGATTGGGACCGACTGAACTGTTTTTATGTGCTCAGCCGTTCGTCCAGGAAGACATCTTTGTGGACGACTTGAGCCCTAATCCTTTTCTAAGGGTCTCACTGCCTTCCCAGGACCAGTTTGGTTAAATTAGATGGAATGGGGTATGACTGTTCCGCGCTACAAAAGGTCACTCAATTACTCGAATCTCCTCCAACCTTCAGCGCTCTCTCAATTCCTAAGATCTTCATTATTCAATCTCACACCACTTTCGTTTATCCTGGAAAAATTATTTTGCCAAGGTCATACCAAAGTGGGAACACTGAACTCATTCCTAAGATCTTCATTATTCAATCTCACACCACTTTCGTTTATCCTGGAAAAATTATTTTGCCAAGGTCATACCAAAGTGGGAAGCACTGAACTCGAGTTTCGCTCTTATTAGAGCTCATGAGTAGTAGATATTCTTGGTCATGCCGGTGTTTGAAATCTGGAAACCTAACATGCGAAGCGAGCGTGTTGTCGCCACTTTACCAGCGCATGCTGGACGCACCTGAATTATCACATATAGACAGGCAGACGTATTTTCTATGAAGGAAAATGTTGGTAGCCCCGGTAGCATGGATGGTCACTGTCACCTCGATTAATAATAATCAAATCGTCCAACTCAGTGAACGAGCCAACGACCAAACGAACAGATCGCGACTGTGAAAAAAAAGTGTTGTTGCTGGAAGCGGTACGTTGGCGTGTATGGCACAGGTTTGCACCCTATCGCAGGGCTAAAGCGAAGTCGGCCCTCACGATCGTCTCTGCAGAAGAGCCGTTCGGAGTAACGCAACATCACGTCGATTGGACAAACCGATTGCGGACGCGAGAAGGTATGCCTTTATTGGCCAGAATGCGAGCCAATCAGGATCGAACTTTTTTTAGCGTGGCGCTTTTAGTCCTCACACAAAGATTGTAGACTGATCTGCATATTTCTGTCACTGCCTTATAAGTACGGTTGCATTGACTCTGCTTTATTTTAAGTTATCTGAAGCTACCGTTCCTATTGATGTAACACAGTGGGCGGAAGGGCGTGCCGAAAATCAGTAGGGGGAACGCGAAACCGTAACATTCCCGACAAATTTTCAGACAATCTCGGGTGGTCAGCTTGAATATAGGTACAAAGGTGCGTTTTGAGAGAATTTATCACCAAAGCTTCGACATGTATCTTGGACCATGAAGACGGTAAGTCATCTGTCCTGGTTTTTCGCCACGTTTGAGAAGCACGATTTGACAGCGAACGAAGAACCGACATCTGAATTTCGTGTGTTAATTTCAGGTAGTATATTGAGGAATTCCAGCTAAATCGATTTTTATAGCGATTAACATATCACCTCAGTTTAAAAACACCTATGGTAATTTGGGAAAAGATAAACCAGTTTACGCTGTTTCCAGTATAAGTCCAGTCTTCCATAAGAGCGATGGGGGAAATTCAACTACACTGTAATTTGAAAATGTCCCTTTTCAGCCAAGGCTTTGGAGCACTATGCAATTCATCGCACCACTACGGATATTGTGGTCGTCAGCAACAGGTAACTTTGGGAAGGAAGTGAAGTAAATCGTCAGAATAATTATTCGGCAGATTCCCGAACATTCATGGAGCTGATTCATCTCTACTGGGAGTCAGTCTTCTTATGAACAACTGAAAGAAACACTAAACAATGTGGGAAAACTTGTCATTCTATTTGACATGTTGGACAAAATAAGGCCTGGCGAAGACGGGTGCACAAAGGGCAACCTACCAGTGAAGCTGTTGAAAACAGCTCCAACAACAGGCACACGGTTATGGTGTTTTGCTTCAGTTCCTTTAAACTCGGCTTCTCATCCTTAGTAGCGACGACTTCATTTGTGCAGGTATGGGAAGAGGTCATGGTACTAGCAGAAGGTAGTTCGGGCCACACGGTGACATGTTTGACATTGGACTGCTCGGTAGATTTGGTACATTGAGCAATGGATATGGGGAGGTGCAACAGGTCCGAGTCAAACCACTCAGCAACTATTCGACTACAACGGAACGACAAGAATGATTCACAAAATTTAGTGGCTGGTGATATAAATGTAACAAAAGATAATTAGCATGTCAGGAACTGCCGGTCATCGAGAAAGGCGAAAAAGCATGACAAAACGAGAGTAAATACGGCCGAGCTCCGTTTTGTCTTGAGCGACCCTTTAATATAGGCTGCGGATTTAAATAAGTTCGAGCGGAGAGCAGCACCCAGACTCGGGAAGCTTGAACATCTAATCACAAGAATTTAACACTACACAGTGGTACCCTGTGTTGAACAAAGGTGTTGGTATATCAAATTCAAGAACAGACGGTTTTCGAGCACCCACTTTGCTGACGTCTATGTTGGTGAGGACAGTGGTAAACATGAAAGATACGGTAAATTGGAATTCGTTGTAGCAGCCATTTGCAAATGATTAGGGAGGGATGATGAGTGTCATATGGATGACAGAACGAACAAGAACCACTTGTTCTCGGAAAAGACCATTCAAAGCGCTCTTGGAGAACCAGATGGTAGTTCAGTTCCCGTGCTTCCTTCGAGTTGCACGGCACCTCTGCACCGAAAGCATAGCATAGCTTAAGCATACTTTCCGTTGTTTTTATACAACAAAGAAAGGGGAGAGAATATATACAGACCCGTACTTGTCATAGCAAATTTCCATGAATGTATGGGAATGGTGACTCTAAAAAGGACTTTTTGGGTATTTGTTGCTGAAACAAAACAGTTAACTTGAAGGTGTCTATTGGATGGATGGGACTTGGGATGTCCAAGCTCAACATCTTGTTCACCTGCCAATGATGGACCTAAACACCTTTAGACACGAATACTTCATGCTTCCTGTATCACCTATCAGCTGCATGCTGTTGTTCGTATTCATCTTTCGGGATCAACTAGAATTGCTAGAAAAACTAGAAAAAATGTACCCATGGAATCCGTAAGGATGTACCTACCAACTCACCTTTGAGTAACCGGGCCTGGACATGATGATATTGCAGCGGTTTGAGGATACTGGACAGGAAGCGTTGTAGTTCGACTATCAACACAGCGACTAACAGCTAATTTGAATGGATGGAGTGTTTATGGGAGAAGACAAAACCTAGGAGTACGAGTATCAGCAAAACCCGCAAGAGTTTGGGGAAATTAGCGATAGAAAATCTGTGAGTCAAGTTGGTAGGGTGTGATGCTACAGGGTTGAACGGTACTGGTTCTGGCAGACTACACCAAGTCCTGAGCTTCAACTTCACAGCTTACTTGGCACGCCTTAATAATGACTTTTACGGAGAAGAACATCGTAGATGACAAAGAGCTGTTAAATCAAACTTCATGTGGCAACATAACACATATTTTCCTAAGAAAAAACTGGAAAAGCATAGGCTATAGTGCGAATAAAAACAGGGCCTTACAGACAATCCGCGTTTCGTTGCTCCCAAACAACCATGTCTGAAAAGTGAGGAAGAAAGCAAACAAGGAAAATTATCGACGAGATTAACTAACCTTTCATTCAGGGAACCAAGTTACAGTCACAGGTATCATGAATTTCGGATTAAGAGCAAAAGTTGGCTTTGTGTACTTTTGTGCCATTGTTCTAACAGAGTAGCAGGTAATTTCACGGCGTGTGAAAAATCTTAATTCGCCAAATATTCTGATGGTCACACAATGTTTCCGTCGATCTCGGGGTCTGATTTCGACAATGCGGCTGTCCGTTTCCTACCCCCAAGTCAACCTGAGGCTTACTCAGAGTTGTGACAGAAATACGGGAAGATAGGAAATTATCGCGTCAAGGAAACGTAAAAAACAGTAAAATTTCTAAACTAATTGTCAAGAAGTTCATGTAGGTCATGCACTGTCCGTATGTTCGTGGAAGTGATTTGTGGATTTCTGCAGGCTTCTGAACATACGTTGGTGGTCTTGTTCGTTTGAGTACTTCACTAAGGGTCTCTTGCTTCTGCGTCACACTTTACTGGATTATTCGAACAAAGATTATTGTACGCTCTCTCCTCGAGCCGCCTAACTGCACATCTTGCTGGATACCACGACGGTACGACGTGAGGCACTTGCACTGTCGAAAACAGAAGTCGCACTGATCGTTGTCTGCGCAAGAGTGCGATATGCCGCTGATTGGACAACCGAGCTCAGCTCATAATTTCGGCAAGGGTTCATTGGCTCCTCAGTAAAGCAGATGGATACATTTTGTCACAAATGCTACATTTTTAAAGTAGCTAGCAAAGGTATGTTCTAAACTAAACAAGAAAGTGCGCAACAACCTGGAGTTGAACGATCGATTGAAGCGTACATACTCTGATCCGCTCCGGGGCCAGAGTGAGGCGGCTCAACCACTACTACGGTTTATTTTAGAAGAGCGTGGTCACAAGCATAAAAAGTGAGTGCAAGCGATAGATGTGGAAGGGTTACAGTGGAATATTAGATAAAGATGAAGCGTTTCATTCGAAGTCATGCCACCAACAGTTCGTCAGACAAGATGAGTCCCAATGCATGTAACAATGTTTGGTATGGAAACACGCGTGTAAATAAGAATAACTGAAGAAAGAACAATGCAGAATGTTCTTCAAGGCTCGATAGGCGCTAGCACAGTCAGAACTCGCACATCAGGCACAAAGTGTTCAGCATACTGGGTCAGGTATGAGCGTCACTGGCAAGAACGTACGCTGAACGTACCCCAGGATTACTCCTGCTCTTGTGGTGTCCGAAAAGTGAATCCCCGGAGCAACGGAAGTGATAGATGGTCTTCAAACGTGATGGTGAATTCAGGCGAAGCGTGGAGTTGGGATCTCAGAAAAACGACGGATGCCAACACTTAGGGTCCCCAAAGTAGTTACACTACCATCCATTCAAGTTTCGTACGCTGCCCACCGATGGTCGGAAATCGAAATCTAGACAACACCTCTAGACAGACCACAAATCGTCTGACAACCGCGTAAAAAGCGGACACTTGCCTTCGCTCTTCAGTTACGCCACATGAATATCAGGTTTTTGGGCGTATCCGTAAAACACATACTGAAGCATAGGGAAACCTTTAAGCCTTATCACGGATCCAACAGGCTAAGAGGTCTCAAAAACCAGCACCGAAAGAAGGGTACGGATAAATTTCAAACAAAACCTCCTCAAACCACCTCTTCAGAAGAGGTAATGAAGTCAGATCAGTCAGGTTGAATAGCCGGACTCTTCAAATCTTTTGTCTGCACTAACAAATTGCCGGTACCTACACAGACCTGAGAAGCGGCAGGTGCGTCTGTCTACCAGCGCGCACAACTAAGTCGCGCAAACATATCAAAGGGGGAAAAGGCACGAAATCAGGTTTGAACAGATTTGTGCTTCCGAAGACAGGAACTTTGAAAGCGAACAGTAACAGATCTGACAGGCAAGACTGCTTTTCTGGGTAGCCACACGAACCGGAATTTATGCGAGAACCCGTTTGCTGATAGACATTTGGATCGCGCAGAGGCAAGTCGAGGAGTCGTGAACGAAAGCCGTCCTAACAGTAACAGTAGGTCCTGGTTGGACTGCTGCGAATTCGGTCTCACTCTTAACTTTGCAAACAGTTCCTACTCATGGCCTCAGGGAATGATCAAGTTAAAAAGCGTAGCATATATATATATATATATATATATATACATAAGAGAAAACAAACCTACATCAATTCGCTGCTTCAGGACACTGAACAGTTTCAGTGAAGGAACCACTAAAGAGGGAGGACCAAATGCAGAACCCCAAGCAGAGGTTTTACAAATAAGTTGACTATTACTACGGTGAAGTGAACAGTAGGCACATAGACTTACCGTTTTGCACGTAACCGAACAAACCAGCGGTGATAAGCAGAAGACATGGATTTCGATGAATTTCACCAGTGAGTGTCATCACATCACGACAAGTATCGACGAACATGTCCAAAGCGTCCTCTAGTGCAAAAAAAATCGGAAGAACGTTGTTGTACCACAAAAATCACAAAGCTGACTGGCCGAAAATAGCAACAAATGGGTCCCCAAATACATCTTCAAGAAACAAACACCCAGTGCAAAAATAGAAATCTTTATTATGGGTGAGGGTATGATAACCGGGTTTCTCGATCTTATAAGGATGAGCTCCAGGGAATCAGCATCATGACTGTCAGCTTTAATAACCGCGTACTTGTACAGTGGTTGTAGCTGCCACAGTTTCGTTCACCGATGATTCGGGGAGGTAAGGTAGGTAGCTGTGCATTGGAGGCGAGAACTGATAAATCAGTGCACAAATACAGCACTGCAGATGGACTGTTAAGTGGGGGAACTGGGAAGGGGGTTTTGCTTTGAAGGCATAGCTTGGACGAGTGCCATTGAGGCGCGACTGGGCCATGTCTGACAATATCTCTAACCATTGATATAGCCCGTCTCCGGGTCCCCATCCAGGAAGACGGCAGTGACCAGCGCAGCTGAGTTTGCTGGTAATGGCTTTCATACTTCGCTGCCAAGTCATTGTATGACTGCCTCTGGCTCTTTTCAACCCTTCAAGTGGTTGTACGAAAAGAGCCCTTTGAGGAAGTCGGTCGACTGGAATACGCAGCAAGTGGCCAAGCCAGCGCAACATATGCTCCGGGGAATACAGGGTTAATCGAAATATCGCACACCTCACGACAGAAAGGGATAATGTTTCAAAGGTAAGGGTGAGTAGGATGTGAACCACGTGCTACGGAAAAGCAGACGGATTGAATGGAATTTCTGTGGACCTTGAACACGACAGATTAATTGTCAGCTGTTAAGGGGATTAAATCGACGCTTAACCACCACGCGACTCAAAAGAGAGTAGAGATACTATCGGATGACCAAAGCCAAGAATAGAGTAAAAAGAAAGGTGGATTCTAACCAAGCACCTAGAGGTATCGCTACAAAGTGACACCTGACAAACTTAGAGGGCATTTTGAGTGCACGACTAAAGAGCCGCATCACATTTGCCAATCGGATGTTTGCACCGGGCCTGACTCTGCAGTAACTAACCAACAAAACGAGCCTTCTTAAAAGACTATTTCGATACAGGACACGCAGGCACAAGAAGTACGTATTTCTCAGCGACCGAGAGTTTGGGTGAAAAGGATTAAACTCTTTGTCACTTATCCATTTCACTTGTTGCAACAAACACCGGTTCAAACGAGAAGTTTAGACTTACCTTGGGCAGCAATCCGACCAGCCACTAACTGGACTAGCTCCAGCGTCTTCGAATCGTGGAACAGCTCAAAAGACTTGGGAAACAAGCTGACGGGCCGGATAGCGTTCGTGCGACCGGAAACTTTTATAGAAGAAAAATATAGGATGATTAGGTGTGAAATAAGCAAGTTGTGGTCTTGGTTATACAACCAGAAACAAAGAATCATCGAACACTTTGGTTACTTTTGTCACGAAAGGGGAAATTGCAGAAACTTGTATAATGTCCGCCTATTCGACTCAGAACCCCGTGCTATACAGTCTTTCTGGAAAAAAGATGAGAAAAATATCCAGCAAGTAGCGACAGCCGCACTTGCAAAGTACGACAGCTACAGTGGATTGAGCACACTATCCATCAAGAGTCTTCTCCAATTGATAAAAATGGGCTTTGAATATTACGATGCCCTAAGAGTGGGGGAAACTGTGATAACAAATCATACTGACAACCAGAGGGTTTGATTTTAGATGAGATTTCGAATAAAAAACCCAATTCATTCCATTGTAAAGGAGTTTCGGGCTTTACCAACCCAGTTACACTAGAGAACGACTCAATGACGAGCTCCAAAGAGAGTTGAACCACCATCCAGTACAGAGTGTTAACGTGGCCCAACATAAGGCAATCGCGTCGGAACAGAATAGACAGTTGACATGGCAATGGTGTATACGTGAACCTGAACCATTTTACACGGCCCCTGAAACTCACGATCTCCCGGACGTGTTGTGAACCAATTGATCACGGCTTTCTGGTAAATAAGCTAACTACTCGGCAGCCGCAGTGAGTTGAATATGCCCACCAATTTGCATATACCAGTTTGACAGGTTTACAACACGACCTAGTGTCCTAACATCTGTCGTAAATGGTCAATCCATGTTCGAAACACAAGGAACTGTTTACGCAGATGTCCTTGGAGCCTTTGATTTTGGCTCCGCCGTGTGAACTCCATCAGACGGTCAAAGAGCCACTCGGTGCACCACGATCACGGAGCTGGAAAGAGATGACCATTAAGAGTGATTACAACCTCGGGCCAACAAAAACCTCAAAGGACCCCACAATCAAATTGGCTTGCCAATATAAATTTGGCACTGCAACGGACAAGTTTACATCCCATCTAAATTGTCAAAAGAACGGGCTGATTATCTGTCCGACATCAGGAAGGATACTCGCTAACCGACAACAGAGATTTAACAGCTGAATCGACAACAAAACTGTGACGATCGTCTTTTCGCTAAGAAGCCCCATAAAATGCTTTATAGGGTATCACTGAAGGTATCACTGACCGATCAGCAGCTGCTGATCTGATCTGATCGAAAAAGAGAAGTCTAGTTAACAGCGCTAACCGCCTCTGCTCCTGGGACACGACTTTAGGATCAAATAGCAGAGTGAAGCAAAGAGCCTGTAAACGTGAAATGCTGTAGTCGCTGCCGTTTGACTTCAAAAAACCGATGGTGTTCCCTGGGTAACAGTTGACATGACCCGCCTGCGTCGTATCGGGCCAGCGATGACTTTCAAATGCAATGTTTTTGTGTTGTTGTCATCTCTAAAGCGCTGTGGTAAGTCGTGCCCAAAAGGTTCACAAGTAATATTCTGGAAACAAAGAGAATGAAGGTTCTTCCTCGGATTTACATCTGAAGGCTCCCGTTGAGCTCCCAGACCAAGCAGATCTCCGAGTCATGGTCACAAGAGTGACGAAAAGTCATGAAAAGTCACCTGCGGTCACCTGAACACAGAATATCAACGTCAGTACAACTCCAGACGGTAGCAGAAAAAACTGTAGGACAGAATGTGGTTAGATCTGAAAAGCAAGCTACTAGGCGTTTGTTCGTCTAAATGACTCTCTATGGACGTAAAAGGTTTAAGTGTACCTTTTTGTCGTTTACCGCTGCGATACGCGGCCATTCATCAGAAATGTGCATGATGAATATGGGTCAGTAAATTCCCAGTTTAGCCGAAGCACGGAAATTTTTCAGGAATTCCAACTACTTGAGAGCCCTCAAGTATTGTGAAATAAGACTGTTATTGTTACTATTACTACTGTTATTATCGTTGCTATTCAACAATCTGTCTGAGAATCGCCATGAGGATGGCGAAAAGGTTCACAGCAGCACTTGACTGCTACTAAGCAGTCGGATTTTCTGGAAATTGTGACGCATGAACCATAAGCAGTTAGCAGCAGCTCACATGAAACCCACTGAAACCTCAACAAGCAACACGTCGATGAATACGACAAAGGCAGATGAATCTGAGTCCTCTCTCACAGATGCTGTTAAATTTAACTGCGAACCTAATATTGAACAAACTTTCGAAGTTGGTTTAAGACAAACAGAGACACGATGCAAGGCGAGTGCGCTCAGTTATAAAAGTTCGGCAATGATTGAACCCTCCCAAAGTTTGCAATCTGACATGGTGAAGAGGTCAGTCTCCAACGGATAGCCGGATTCGGAAGGGACTCCGGGCAACCCTCGTAAGTTTTTTGGCGACCGACATTCCTCGCACCACTGTCCTGCTGCTTTTTAACATTCAACGTAACATTTAACCTCCAACGGATAGCCGGATTCGGAAGGGACCCCGGGCAATCCTCGTAGGTTTTTTGGCGACTGACATTCCTCGCACCTCTGTCCTGCTGCTTTGTAACATTCAATGTAACATTTAATCATGCTCTCTGTCTTACAGAATATACGGGCCCTGATTTCCTAGACCTGAAATGAATCGCGGAGTTTCGGCTCAGGGTAATCCCTCAATGCTGTGCACGAGAACAAAACATTCTGACAACTTCGTGATCGGTAGTTTCAGCTGAACCGGCGGTCAATGCAAACACACGTGACGCAGTGGCTACCCTATCCGATATAGGTAGCCCTCTTGATTCATTCCGTTGTAAGGTAGAGTTTGCCGACAACCAGGGCGATCCACTTGTGAGCTTAACCCTTTAACTTGCGATCTGATTACCAGACAGGGCTTCTCACGACTAACAACATGCGATCCTTACTGGAAGTCAGTGGTGAGAAACCGACAGTATAGATGTCACAGCAGTTCCACGAGGATCGGAGACGGTGGTCGAGATGACTGCGAGCGGAAACTACAGTGGATACCAAGAGAACACTGTGCAGGTGAAGATCCATACGCTTTGAATTTCCAGGCCGATTCCGTATACGACTGCGCAACCCGAACCAACTCCAGACAGCAGACTGCGGCACTATAGTGAAACTACCGGGGTCTCAGGCCCCAAGGAACACAGCAAGATTCACATACCTCAAACCGAACGTACATCAAAATCTACCTCAAAGAGAATACAAGTCTGCTCCTCCATGCTTAGGAGATGCACCGGCAAGTGACGGTAGTCTCTCGGGCTCACATAGACCGAGTGAGTAGCATCCTCAAGGGAGAGTATCCGGAGGTGGACGAATACTAAGTTAATTGGGCGATTGTGGTGAGACGATTGGGATCGGAANGGATCGGAAGAAGGTACCGCCAGATTCTAAAACTAGGGATCATTCGACGTTTATTGTATCCAGTGATCCATCACGAATATTCGAGCGTGGTTTGATATATAAATACAGCTGTAACGAACTCACACCGTTCAACTGCATTAAATCCGAAGTAAAAGAGCCTTTTGGTATAACATAGTGAGTGGAACAGCAAACCAAAACAAGTGGCGATCACATGCCAAATGCGTTCAACGCAAGGCTTTACAAAATACATTGGAGCAACCAGTGTTTTTCCCAGAACCAAGGGTGTGAATCAAAGAAACACGAGGTATAGTCTACTAACGTCAAAAGTTACTGTGTTCACTGTACAGTCTCCACATAAGCACATCCTTTCAAGAGGAATGTGGAGTTTTGATGTGATCACTTATGAGCCCGTGGAGAACATACGCACAAGCGACTCAGTTACTGATGGTGATGCCACTGGTAATGATTACGATGACCAGAGTTTAGTAAGTAAAGATCTAATGAAACACAAATATTTCACTAAGTGCCCCAACTTAGGAGAATGTTGTAAGAAATTCTACTCGTTTCGGATAATGAGAGACAGACTAGTTTATGACTTGAGACAGCCAATTTACTAGCGAGTATATAAAAGCAATCTTCATGGAAGTCCGACTGCTATCAGATCCCGACCACAGTGTAAAAGATAGACGAAGAGCCTAAATGGATTACTTATCATAAAGAGTTACTGTAAAATCTCACCGACCAGAGGCTGGAAAAGCTGAGTGGTACTGAAGAAATGACTTAACGATTACCATAAGTTAGGCGAATAGGCAAAGTTAGTCGGAACAGAGGGTTTCTGACGGCTTTATCCAGTTTAGGTTCTGACACTGTTATCGCTATACTTGTAAATTGGGGCATAAATGTCCCTATAACTTGTCAGGTAGCCGCCAGCTCAACCATCGGAACATAAGGCGGGTGAAAGTTTGCTCTTGGTAGAGAACTGTTTCATAAAAACGCAGTAACTGCAATTTACGAACGTTGGCTTGTCAAGGATTTGTATATTCCCCCGAAACTAGGTAATGGGAAGCCTAGATAGCAGCAGTGGTCAAGATTTCAACTGACATTGCCCACTGAGAAACCTGGAGACCAGGGAAGCAAGCAAGATTGACCACGAGCACGTCACTACCACAAAAAATAATAAAGATTAGTCATAGTTAAAACGTAGGGGAAATCAGAGTAGTTCAACCAGAAAACTTACCTGACTGACTGGAGGAACTCTGAGGGGAACAGTCGTGCAACAATTCCACAGAATTTGTGCTAAAACGCAAAAGTTCAGCAAGGCTTGTGCATAGGCGATGGAACGACTCTCGACGGCAGGTAAGTATGGAAAGGCCTTCGACATCTGTAAATAAACATATCGGGTGAACATTAATGGTGAAAAATCCGTTCGAATGAAGGATTTTAAAAGGGTATGAATGACGACCATAAGTAGCAAACTGTGATTTCCAAAATGGACTGTTTTCATTGCACACGGTAAAAATATTTTTTTAAAAATCGAACAGGTGTTCATCTATGGAGCTTGAGTTGAAATGACAAGCGCGGTCCGTACTGTTGCCGTGAATGAGTGAGGGTTATGTTGGAGAAATTGATCCACGGGTGAGGTCACTACAGAGAAGATTAGCAGAATCCCAAAGGTTCGTAACATCTGTCTTTAGGTTATATCTTGAAGGATAGCTAACAAGGAATACGGAACTGACAAGTAAGAAACTATCAACTACCACACGACCGGGACGTTAACTGTCCAGAATTTCAGACAAATTATGAAGATGAATGAAAGCTATACGTGATTCTTTTCTAATTACCCATAACAACGATAAGCAGTCCGCTGGAGTATTTTCCAGAATCTGAAAATGACAATAAAAACTGCCCGACCAGGACTCACTTCCGTATTGCTGACCACACTACGCGTTTCAATGGTTTCGACCAGTTTCAAGCCATTCTGTTGCTTAGACAGACGCTTGATTGTTGGTCTCTTCACCGAGCCTGGTAGTTGGATTGTGGAAGTTTCACCACCAATCAGGGTGACATCACCGATGATGCCAAATCGTCGTGGTTGATTGCATTACCTCGACTGACGAGACGTTTGCAATCTAACTTCCAAGCACGGCGAACGGGCCAACAACCAAGCAGCTCACCCGGGGCTACCTATCTTCTGAAACCTCACTGACACACTGGCCGAATATCCCAGCAAAGTTCGGAAGAGATGGTCCTCGATCAAATAGTATTGGTCTCTCTTGAGCGAAAAACTAAACATGATATTGAAAGTGAATGGCCCACCAAGTCCCTGATCCCACGGGGCAACGAAGGAAATAAGGCTGTTCAAATGAGTTGAAAGTGGGCACAAATAGATAAGAACTCGGACAGACTGTATCAATGGAACGCAAGAAGAGAATCAGTCAAACATTCGACTTACCCATAACGTTTAAATAACCCAAAATGGTGCGCAGCCGCTTCTGTAGTTGTTTTTCATCTGTTTAAAGACGAGGGAAATTCGCTTACAAGTTGGACCAGGGAAGAATGAAGAGCGGTGGAAGCACTTA